AGCAGATGCCGGGGGCTGCGCACCTCCCTCCACTGCTGCCGCACGCCTTCCGGCCGGACTCGCAGGGGGTCGGCAGGAAATTCTCTTCCTGGCAGCGCAGCGTTTCGGAGGTGCCGAGGTAGCAGCCCAGCTCCTCCCCACAGCAGATGTTGGGACCAAAGCAGTGGCCCTTGTTCCTGGGACCGCAGGGCATGCACTGTTCGGGGTGGGAGAGACACGGCGGAGAGGAAGGACAGATAAAAACCGGCCGCGCTGCCGCTATTCTCTTAAAAAATATATATAATTTCACACCTGGCAGTAGTGTTGGGAGGAAAGGAGGGAGATCCCGGGCGAGAGGCGAGCGTGCCAGGGTGGCAGCAGCACCTACCTTCCGGATGTCCATGTCCAGCGCAGCACGCTTGCCCCCGATGGGGCAGTTCTGGATGTAGCAAGCGGACGAGAGCGCCAGGAGCGCCAGGAGGCAGAGGGCGAGCGCCTTGCAGGGCATGGCCATGGTTCCTGGAATCCTGCGGGTGCTTGGCCTGGTGCCTGGGAGCCATTTATATAGCACCTGTGGCTGCTTACACATGCCAGCGCTGTCGTCACTCATTTCCCTTAAAGAATACAAGGCATTGCTTCCCACACCAGAGGTCTCGGCTAATAGCCGGAGGTCGAGGACGTGAGGTCAGCACCAAGACGCTTCTTTTCTCCCTGCTCCTACTCTGGCCGCAGCTGAGGAAAAGCATGGAGGCTCTGGATGCTATGGGGAGAAAGGGGGCCCCATAGGATGGGAGGGATGGGGAAGGTTTGTGGTTCAGTTTGCTTTCTCCAAGCTCTCAGGCCATGAATGGCTTGTCCCTCTGCGCTCTCCTCGCCGGTCAACATCTGTGCTTCCTCATTGACCACGGATTGAGTTGGAAGATGCCTCCTGAGGCCTGGTAGGCTGTGTTCTGAGGGGGCTAAGTGCTTCCTTTGGGTTGAAACCCCTTCACATGGGAAATGACCTAATTTTCTTCTCCTCGATGGCTTGAGGGCTCCACGCTGGAGGGTGAAGCCTGCAGATGTGTGATGGTGATGGGCCCTTCTCTGCCTGGTGTTGGGGGATGCTCATCTACATCCTCCTTGGAGACAGGTGGGAAGAGGTACACGGGTGACACCGAGCGTGTCCCAGCCTGCTTTCACCTGAGAAACCATGTGGCCACGTCCCTCAGCGGCGTGATGGACAGTGAGGAAGTGGACACCAGGTGGGACGCAGGGTGATGTGTGCCCTCACGCTCTCCGCGACCCCTCGCCTGCAGTCATTAGGAGCTTCTCGCCTTGCATAAATTCCCGCACGGCAGACGAGGGCCCGCAAACCTCGCAGCTGTTGAGGCCATTAGTCCCAGCTCACTTAATTGGGGAATATGCAACCTGGCGGCTCTGGGGCCGTAACCTCTGTCCATCCCTGCTGGCTGGAGTCGAATCCTGATGCACTCCGGGGCACGGAGCAGCTCTGGGACGGGTCAAGGGGACGTGGTGATGCTGGAGACGCTGAGCTGAGCCCAGTGGCTGCTCTGGAGTTTGGATGGAAACTTTTTGCGAAAGAGCCATTAAAAAACACTCCATTTTCAGCTCTTCCCATCACACATAGGTTTTACGGGGCCTTGCTGCCCTTGGGGGTCTTGGGTGAGTGTCGCTGCCCGCATCCCAGTGCCCCCTGTTCACCCATCCCTATGTCCCCTCCTTTGCCTGCAGGAGTCCCGGCTCCTCAGCGACCCCTCACAAGGCACCAAATCCTGCTGCTCTCCCCCCACAAGCACATCCTGCCTTTCCTCCGCTTCCCAAAGCGTCCCCAGGGAGGTGGCGGCTCCGAGGCCGGGCGCACTCGGTGCACGTGCCCCAGCGCTGTAGATGCCAAGGACATTTTGGGGTGTGATTGCCTTGGGGGTCGGGCCAGCTCGTAGCTTCGGGGCTGACGTGGCTACCGCAGACCGGCCTCCCGCTCCACCTCCCTCGCTGGGGACATTATAAAGCCCCGCGCTGCACCGAGCCCCAAGGGGCGGTGACGGGCACCCCATGAGGGTAAGCGGGAAGGGCCACGGGTGGACACAGCATCTCCGGGACTCGGGGTGAGGGAGCGGGAAGCACCGGGTGGATAATGTGATGCTGCAAGGGGCGACTTGCCGGGGACAGGAAGCCAAACCTTGATAATTTCTTTTTTAATGATTTTTTTTATTTGAAGTAACATTTCCCCCGTTCCCTATTGCCAGGAGACGAGAGCAGCATGGTGCCAGCCGAGGGGCTCCTCAGCACAGGCTGGGGG